AAAGTCCTTGGCTAGTGTAAGCATTACCTAGCAACAACTAAAACATCGGTGCGTTATCAACTTTGTTCTCATCCTAAACCCAAAACACTGTCCCAGCTACTAGAAAGGAAATTAACTCTATCCCTGCCGAAACCAGGACATCCTGTTACTTATCAGTTTACACATAATCTACAAATGCATTTAATTTTATTATGTATTTTTTAATATTTATTATGTATTTTAAATGTAATCTCTCATGCCAGTTACCAGTTTCAAATTTGTTACATTGGTTCACTTCAAAAGTTAATCCAATGCTTAACTAAAACTTGATTTTCACTTGAAATAGCAAAATCAGTAATAGGTGGTGAAATGAGGTGAGACACTGCAAACTTGTAAAACCAGACATACCGTAACATCTTTATCTTAACTTTGACCCTTCAGTACTCTGCATTTTTTGAACAGAATAATGTACTTTTAATTAGCTACAGACTGCACCTTGAAAGTTGGCAAGTAAATCAGAAGTGTGTAACTTCATTAAGTCTGCTTATGTGTAACAGTAACAGGACAGATCACCTATTGTACGTTGCTGAATGACCACTTGGTGGCAGAGATTGCCCAGATTTCATTATAAATTCATTTTTAGACAAAATTTTTAACCTCTCTTTAAGCTGCACGCCTATGGCTTTTTCCTCTCCCAAAAATTATTACTAGAGTAAACTCAGCCTGTCATATTAATGACTGAACTAGAATTCATATTTTTAAGTTAGTATCTATTGAACATCTACACAAGAGTAACTGGAGGTGAAAAAAAATGTAATTTAAATAAAGCAATGATATAAACCCTAACAAAAACAAGTCTCCTCCAGGATAGTTGTGTGAAAGAAGAAATGCAGCATACATGGACCATTGCTCTTAGAAAACACCTTCTTTAAACGTGCTTCTCATTTCATCGTTCTTTAGTATTACTTAAAATTCAATGCAATCAGAATAGTAATGTCATTACTGTAGCTGTTTTGTGTAGCAGTTTGTTAACGTCTTAAATCCCAGTTTTCAGAAGCAGCTGACAACTTGGAATGCCAGTAAATTGTACGTGCTTGGACCAGAAGGGAGGGTTTCCAGAAAATGACTCAGTTTGCACTCCCAGAACCAGAGGTCACTTGTGAACATTTCAGAAACACTGTTTTATACTAGGAAAGTAAAAGTTAACATGTTTTTTATTGTTTGAGTGAGGGTTTAAAGCTCTTGCAATAATTAGTTGTTCCTTATTTCTATTCTGAAGGGCCACGTTTTACGAAAAAGGCTTAAATAGGTCATCTGCCACTATCAGTTTTTAACTCAGGAAGATGAACAAGTTCTGTGACTCTTAAACCATAAACTTTCTCATTCACAAGGCAATTTTTCAATTTAGAATAAAACTCAAAGTAGATTTCTTTAAAACTCTCCTTTTTCTTCATTTTTTTCTCCCCTTTTTTGGTTTGAGGTTCTTGTTCACTTGATGTTTAAAACACCAATTCTAGCCTGAAACAGAAGAAATCTGTGGGTTTTAATCAACAGCCTGAAAGAAAACATCTTCACAGCCTTTATTATTATATGTAGATATGTCTCAAGAAATTAGTTTCTGGTGTGCTACACTTCGAACACAGCTATGTAAATCACTCGCCATTTAGCATTGCTGGCATCTGGCTTTGTTTTCTGCCAACGGTAATCAGGGCAGAGCCGGCTCTAGGGGAATATTTCCCCCCCTTCCCATCTTAATTCTTGTCTTTACACTCACCCTGGTGCTGCTGCCGCTTTTGCACTGAGAAGATGCAGGCTCTGCAGGAGAAAGGCCCACAGGCTGGGTCTGAATCATTACACTCAAGCGTGTGTTAACATTTCTGAGTACTGCAATGCAATGTCTTCTATCAGTAAACTTTTAGTGTCCTCCCAAGTAGGACTTACACCGGAGCAACTGGCTCTCTCCCTAGGCACAGTTTGGCAACTGGAATGGTCTGGGGACAATAGCTTGCAGCAACCCTACTTTGGGAGGAAAACTACTTGAATAGGGGCAAGCCATTCCTGAATTGGCCTCAGTGCCCAGAGAAGCTCCCTGTCACATTTAATTTACTAGCACAGACACAGCCACCAAGTCTTGGGTCTGGTCTTGCCAAATCTTTTCTTATCTTTGCACAGCTCATTGTGTTTATAGTAGCTCCTTGCACAAGTAGCTCCTTGCTCAGCAGTCACAGCAGCACCAACCTGCTCAGCACAGGATGATGCTGTCAAAATCCAAAAACCCCGAGAATGCCTTTGAGCACACACGAGACATCTGAAGTTAATAACAATCTTGACTTCGGTGACAGTGTTTGTAATATCTGTGTTTGTTTTTATAAACTATTATGAATTTAACCAGAGGCAGAGGCTTGTCAGAGGCACAGTATTCTTCCCTATAGCTCCATTTTTTCCTTCATTTTTTCCTAGGATTGCAACCAGTTTCTTTTCTCTTTTACTCTTCAACTGATAACTGTGATGGAAAAAGTGCGTGTCACATTGGTGACAGAGAGCTGACAGATGCACATAAATTCTTTACTGGCCCCCAGTCTAATGACTAATGACTCTTGATTACAGACTCAAGAACTCCTAACCTTGAACAGGCCTCTGCTCAGACTACTGCCTATTTTAACAAAGATCCTGACACATTAAAATTTCCATAAATGACACATTTGTTTCTGCCACCATGACAAACCTGTAATTTCTTTTTTTGTGTGAATGTTACCATAAGCTCACCTTTCTACTCACTATGTCTGATCAGTTGTCTTGCAAAGCTCTTCTTCCCTAACGTGTTACAATAGTGCTAGTCTTTACACTTCCAGTACCACCTAACACTATGTGCTATGCCCGTGTTCTCCTAAGGCAATTAATTTGATTTATACCAAGACACTGCAAGAAAAACAGACCGACTATAAACTCTTTAAATAAGCCCTTGAGATACAGCAAGGAATCAACTCAAGCGCTTTTTACTGTACTTGTCATGTAAATAAAACAGATAACAATGTTTTCCAATAAAAGCAGGATGCATTCTCGGTGGAAGTAGAGACAGGCTACAAAGGGGGAATTTAGAAACTCTGCCCAGGCATGTGAGGGTGGTGAGAGGAAAGCCAAAGGTCACCTTAAGCTGACATTTGCAAGGGCAGTAAAAAGAGGTTCCTCCTACTGCTACAATAGTATAAGGCTGAACAAGGAAAATGTGGGCCTGTTGCTCAGTGGGGCAGGGGATTTAGTGACAACAGACTCAGGTAAGGCTGAGGGACTTGATGAGTTCTTTGCCTCAGGCTTCACCAATAGTCTCTCAGGCCTCTCTGCTTAGTGAAGGGATTCGAGGAGAAGGAGAACAACCAGCTGTGGAGGAGGGTCAAGTCAGGGGTTACTTGAGAGAACTTGACCCAGGCAAGTCCATTCGACCCAATGGGCTGCATCCACAGGTGCTGAGAGATCACATGAAGTCCTTGCAAATATGCTATCATCTTTGAAAGATCATGGAGATTGGGAGAGGTCCGCAAAGGCTGGAGAAAGACAAATGTCAAACCCATCTTCAAAAAAGGCCAAAATGATGATCTGGGCAACCACAGGCCACTAAAGCTCACGTTGGTAACTCGCAAAATAATGCATCGAGTCCTCTTGGAGCACATTTTTGAGCACATGGAAGAGCAGATGGTGACTGGGAACAGTAAGTGTGGGTTTATGAAGAGTAGAATCTGTCTGACCATCCAGATGGCCTTCTCAGATAAAATGACTGGATTTGCAGATGAGGGGAGAGCTGAAGATGTCATCTACCTTGACTTTAGCATGGGTTTTAACACTGTATCCTAGAATATCCTTGTACCCACAGTAGGATGTTACTGTCTGGATGGGTGGACAACTAGACGGGCAAAATCCTGGCTGGATGGTTGTGCTCAGAGGGTAGTATAGGGGTCTTGGCCTGGGACTTGCCCTTTTAAACATCTTTATTGATGACCAGGTGTCAGAAGTGTTGGAGTCCACTCCTGTCAAGTTTGCAGACAAAGCCAAATTTGGGGAAGGGACAGCATATAGGCTTGAGGACAGGGATGCCATCCAGGAGGATGGGGCTGACAGGAACCCTGTGAATTTCAATAAGGACAAATGGGAAGGAATAACTCTTTCAACAACACAGGCTAGAGACTGGCTGGCTGGGGAGCAGTTCTGCAGAAAAGGACCTGGGGGACTTGGGGGACAGTGAGAAGGATGTTAAAAAACTGCAAGTTCAGCAGAGGGTCACCAAGGTGTTTGGGGCTGGAGCACTTGCCCTGTGAAGAGACACTGGGGAATCTGGGCTTGTTCAGCCTGAAGCAGAGATGGCTTCAGGCATACCTAACAGGAGCCCCCAGTGTGCATGGGGAGGTCACCGAGGAGAAGGAGCTGGGCTCTTCACAGTGCTACAGGACAGGAGGATGAGAGACAATGGACTAATTCAAACAAGTGGTAGAAGAAGCAACTTTTTCCCCATGAGGGACAGTCAGGCGGTGACACATGCTGTCCAGAGAGGTTGTGAAGTCTCCATCCTTGGAGGATCTCAAGTCCTGACTGGATGAAGCCCTGAGCAACCTGGCCTGACCTCAGAGTTGACCCTGCTGTGAGCAGGAGGTTGGACCAGAGACCTCCTGAAGTCCCTCCTGGCCTGAATTATTCTCTGATTCTGTGACAAGAAGCAGGAAGAACTGTAAATTTACAGTGGTATTTTTGGACTTTACTGATTACAGATGTAGACAAATACTTATATTAAAAAACAAAGCAAGAATTTCAGCCTGTACATAGTGACTGACTTCAGTATGGACTAAGTATGTTGGGAAATTAATCAGAAAACCAGTTCAACAAGAAAAATGACGTTAAAATTGTTTTTCTCTTTTAAAATTAGCAGTCAGTATACACACTATACAATTACCTTGTTCATCTCTGCATCTTCATGAAAGCTTTTCTTTTGGCACAGAAATGGTTTAGAAATCCATTTTTTGATTCTGAGTAGGAGATACAGCAAAGATTTTGGGCTTGGCACTAAGTTGAAGGGTACTGGAAGAGTTCTCCCTTCTTCAAAGTAAGAAAACCAAAGTTTAGCCCTTGCAAATTTCCATTCTACATCAGCATCATCCTGTAAAACAGAAACACGGCTGTTAATACACAGTTAATGCCACCTTGACTATTAAAGATGCTCTAGCTAAACTTTATGTGTGTTTTGAATGTAATTGGCTGAAGTTAATCTCAAACAGATAAGAACTTGTTTATAATCTGTGAAAACCAAATTACAATGAATGGAACTGTTCTTATTAATCCATTTAAAATAATGCAATTACAGAAGAACAAAGTGGATTTGATTTAAACATTGGTTACTCCAGAGCGAGTGGTAATAGTCTGCAACACAGGATCACAAAGACAGACCTCTTTGGTGCTCTTTGTAAACACACTGATAAGAACGAAAGCTCTGACTTAAAAGCACACAATACAGTGCCCAATTTAGAGCTTCATGGCAACACTCAAATTCATCTATTAGGGCTTGACTGGGCAGTCACTTGTTTGGAACACTGTCATGCTCAGTAAATAAAATGGAAAAATCCTATGTTAGCATAACAAAAATGTAAATCTCTCAATGAGACTACCAGCTCTCATTTCTTATCTTATTGGTCTCTTCTGTAGCAATGAGTCTATTATCTTTTTTGTGAAGAAGACATAGTATCAGAATTTTAAATGAAAATTTTACTCTATTACTTTAAACATGAAGTTAAAAAAGATTAGGTGATTCTTACCCAAGATTCCTTCCACTTGCTGGAATATAAGATTAAATCAGGTATGTTATCATCACCATGGTTTATGTTTAACATTTACGATAGCCAAAACACTCACTTTATTCCTCCCTGTAAAGTTCAAGAGGGTTTTCTGCAGGAAGGACTGACATCATGTTCAAGGACATGACTCAATATTGCTGTAGCTGTTTTTAGAAGCTGTTTACATCCAGTCACCATATTTTTTGATAATAGCCTGGTTTTTATTGCTCTGAACCTGGTAGTTTGTTCTGTGGCCTCCTGAGTCAGAAGAATCTGAACTTCCCTAGAGAATGTGTGTTGCTCTTGCTCAAGCTGGACAACACTACAGCCCCAAACCAGAGCCCAGAACCTGGGACCAGAGCGGTGTCAAACAACCTGAGCCTGCTGCTCTATGGCAAGGGCGTTACCTAGGAAAGGCTGGGATGGCTCCTGGAGATCTGCTTCCTTTTTTTCTAAACAATGATAATGATTTAGCCCTTTGTTTTCCATGGCCTGCAAAAGTTCATGCTGATTTTCAGTAGCCCTGCTGATTACTTTGTCAAGTAAAGTTTTGTTCACTGCAGAGGACTAGAGCAACGGTTGTTTAAATAAAAGAAGAAAACAGCATGTTATAGACTTGCTTGCAAGGTCAAGGCATAGCAACGAGAACATCCTTGCAGCAAGAGGGATGCTACTCAAGTAATAACTACAAATGAGGCAAATGAAAGATTCACAATGTCACACAATGTAGCCCATCCTCTTCAGGAACATAACACAGTTCAACAGCAGTTTCTTAGTCTAGTCTAGTTCTTACTATTGCAAGCACATGCAGCTGGGTAATTTCCAGGTATTTTATAATAAAAATATACAGTGGAATTAATATTTTCTCCTAATATATTCCAAAAGCCTATGTGTTATTTTTCTTAAATAAGATGTCAACAAGAAAGATTTTCCAGGAGATTTAGACAATTAGCTATAACAGTTAATGTGGTGATATTTCATCATAAACAGAATTTTTACCTCAATTTCCTGGAATGAACTGTTGATCATTGCGATAAGCATGTTCAGTAAGACAATGACCATGGTAACATTATAGACTCCATAAAGGACATAACCAATATTTTCAATAAATTTGTGTTTATAATTGATGACAACTGATTTAACTTCTGAGAGTCCAAATATAGCCCAGAACAATGTCTTGAAACTTTCTTCAACACTAAAAGGAGAAATTGAACACATGCATATGTTACTGAAGAAAAGCTGTATATTCTTGTTGTATAAATTGCCACTTAACATTTTTATACAGTATACAAATTTTTCCATTATTGTAATGTAGAACTCTACCATAGTGATATTATGCAGAACAAGTAGGCTATCTAATTTCATAGGTATAGGCTGTTTCATAATATAAGATTCCTAATATTTAGGACTGACAATAAAACCATCTGATTCAGTTTAGGAATTATATATACATCCTCAAAAGAATATTACAATGATTCACTTGTTAACTACTTTAATTTACATGCTACATGCTTGCCGGTAATGTGAATGTAAATAATAAAAATAATTAACCTGTAAATACTTTATTTTAATTGCACCATTAGTTCACTTAGTATGAATTATTTCACCATTAATATGACTAACATTCTGAAACTGTGAAGAAGACAGGATGTCTGACTGCCAATCAGCATTTTTCAAAAAAATGAGTCTCACAGACCGTAATCCTCCAGTTGAGTTTTCACTATTCCACAAACCCAGGGTAAAGGTAATAAGCCATGGTGTGGGGATACTGATTTTTTTTCAGGTTAGTTCAATTAAATCCATGTATTTCCTCTTAATCCGTTTTTACATATATATATATATATTAAAAAAAACGTAAGTCCAAACCTCTGAGGTATCTTTTCCTATCTATCTCCACCTGTTTGAAGACATATTTTCTCTTGCTTTGATGAAGAGATCTCAGTTTCCCATATCCAAAAAATGCAGTAGCATTGCCAAGCACATTTTGGATTTTATTGGGTTATTGTTAAGAAAAAAAAAGTTAAAAGACACTTGTAATTTTTAGTTGTGAATTTACTTCTCTGCTTATAATATTTTATCAGTATTTCATCTGTGAGTTGTAGTTTTAGGTAGTTTATCTATTGTGTGAACTAATAATAATAAAAAAGTAGTAACAATTTTTTCCCTTGTCGTGGTTTAACCTCAGTCGGCAACTGAGCACCACGCAGCCGCTCGCTCGCTCCCCCCACCCGGTGGGATGGGGGAGAGAATTGGAAGAGCACAAGTGAGAAAAACTCGTGGGTTGAGATAAAAAAGTTTAATAATTGAAATAAAATGATAATAATAATATGA